TTTGTGTCTATAAGATGCCAAGTACAGTCACAAGCTCAGTGAGGATTGAGCTGTCGCCTCTTCTTCTGCAACTCAGTGCTCGATAAGTCATCAGGGGAAAGCGAGTCCCTAATTTGTATGTGGTGCAAGGAAGAACAAAACTAACGTCTTGCCTTTCCCTGAAAGTATTCTTACTTCTTTGCTTCATGTACCTCTTTCCCCCTTTAGTCTCCCCTTTCATCTCCTCCACCAAGAGCCTGAGATTCTCTCAGAACACTAGATTCAAATTACTTTAAATGTTGGCTCATCCCCATGAAATGACAGTGACATAAAAAAAACTGTACACGTCCCAGACTTAATTGTATTTGATTTACACACACACACGTGCACACACACACACACACACACATCAGGCTACTTCTCATTTGCTCAGGGAGAAGGACCACTTTTTCTGAGTTTTCATTTACTGAGCGTGAGAGCAAAGTCTCTTAAGCAGAATTTCGCCTGGCTTCGTGAATGGTTTTTTAAATTGGATTTCTGCTTTGTGTCCATAGAAATATTCTCCTATTATAAGAGAGGAAGTGGAGACATAGATATTCTGCTGAGATATTGTTGTTATCATATTTGAGTTTTAAACGACTTAAGACAGCATAGAGTCATAAATTTTTATGGGTGAGAATCCATGATGGTGTAACTTGGACAAGAACCTGGGTCTCCTGCCATCGTGTCCACGCGGGTGAAGAGGCAACTGGTTGGGGGATGGCAGGGATCTTTCTTGCTTGAGTTCCAGGCTCGTGTTAGTTTTCATTGCTCAGCTTCCTTTAGTTTATGTCCATGTGGCCTCTCATGGGAAGGTCACTATGTCCTGATAGACTGAGTTACTAATCAGCAAAAAGCTCTGGACCCACTCTTATTTTCCAGAGTTTTTCTGCTGACCTGCTGACACTATATATAAATGAGACCTAACAAACTACTGGATATAAAATCCTTATTGTTATCATTTGCCCTCGAGTTCCATAGGGAAGGGGTGCTGTCTCAGGCTGTCTAAGGCTAGATCTGAAGAAAGATAGGGTGATAGGCTGTGCTGCTGGAACCTCCCCAGTCGAATGGGATTTCCACCTTAGTTTTTAGAATCAGGCAGATGAGTTCAAATATTGTCTTTATCAGTTATTAACTTTGTGACCTTGGGGAAGTAACTTTACTTTTTTGGGTTCCAATTTTCTTTATCTGTAAATAAGTTCTGTATTTATTTTATGGTTTTTGTTTTAGAATTGAATGAGTTAATTCCCTCATTTATTCCTCAAATACTGATCATATGGTTCTATGCTGATGCCTTAGTAGTTGATTACTAAGGGACTCAGCAGTGAGAATGGGGGTGGGGCCACTTGGATCATAGAGCTTATATTCCAGGATATGCTTGAAAAGACTGGATTGCATTGGATTTTTAGTAAATGTCCATTCCTTTCCTAATCCCCATTGATTGTGTATATATATTTATACTAATATATGAACAATTTTTTTCCAATTTAAATCTCTTTGTAGTATTTAAAGAATGTAGCTATAACAAAAATACGTGAAATAAAATGATTTGACTTTTATTTTCCTTTCAATAAGCAAAACAAAATAAAATAGAAAAGAAAAGAAAAAGTATTGAAGTAGTAGAAATAATTTTATTTCCGTGGTATCAACACCCTATGTTAGGTTTTTCCGTTGTGTTGTTAAACAGCATATAAAATTGACAGTTTGTGATTTCAGTGTTGATACCTAGGTGAGTATAGTTTCTTTTTGTGGTTGTCTTTGATGAATTATTTGCAGTAGATCATAAATGATGTGAATGTTACATATTGGAAACGAGGAAACAGTGGAGACATACTACCTCCAATGCAGTCATTTTGTTACCGAGTCCAAACTCGTTCTGCTCGCCACATCACAGGCCAGTAAACCAGGAGATGTGGTGTTGGAGCAAGGAATAGTGACTTTATTTGCAACGCTGGCAGACCCAGAAAACGGCAGACTGATGTCCTGGAGAACCATTTTCCCCAAGTCAGAATTCAGTCTCCTTTTATACTAAAGAGGGGCGGGGTTGTGCCTGGTTGTTGCAAACTTCTTGCTGTATGAATTGTTTGTCCTTTGAATCCGCTGTTCTTGCAGCTGTCCATGTGGATCAAATCATTATGCCCCTGTAAAACCTCCAAAAAAGAAAAGGTTATTCTCTATTTTGCAACTTGCCATCTCTACAGAAGTGCAGATGAGCTAACATTTTTAACGATCAGGGCCCGGAGAATAGAGTTTCCTGTAGATTTCAGGCTAAAGGAAACTTCCTTTTACAACTGGTGCAGAGGTACCAAGTCTGAGCCTAGAAAACAGGGCACAGGTTTAAAGCCAAAGGAACAGATCAAACATAGGGTCAAAATTGTTCTTTTTTTTATTACAAATCACTTTTCAGCTTCATAGATAATTTTAGTAAGAAACATGAGCAATTTTGTATTTTTGCTTCTTACTAAGTGACAAGTGGGCCAACTACAGTTTTGTAAGCAGGGATGCTATGCGGGCATTGGGGTGACAGCAAACTCTTGTTCGGGGTGGCCGACCCTGCAACATGTCTGATGCCCCGTGAATGTTGGTGAGGGTTCCCCTAGCCAGGGGCTCTCTTCAGGATGTAGCATATGGGCATTGACCTCTGGAGACCTGTTTTTAGGCTTCAGGAAATTTTTTCAGATACTGTGATTGAAAAATCACTCCAGCTGGGGATAATTTGGGAGAAAAGGAAAAGGAAAAGTGTTTGGAGTAGAGTAGAAGAGCAGGACATAAGATCACAGAGCCTGAGTGCTTAGCAGCAGGGCCTCGGTAGAGAGGGGAGCAGAGGTGGGGAGGGCCTGGCTCCGGAACCAGCTCCTGTACCTGTCCCCGCGCCCAAGCCACATAGCTTTGAATTGGCTAGGGCTACCTCTCTGGGCTGGATGTCACCCTGGGCAGAACCTTGATAATCGATGGTAAGGGGTGGGCAGCACTCACTAGGGTGTCACTGAGGACTTCGTTCAAGTCCACAGTACCTTTTCTGGTCATGTGTCTTCATTTGACCTTTATCTCAGGATCTGAGGAGGAGGAGCATGTAACTCAGGGAGAGATCCAGGAAGATATCCGACTGTGTTAAGAGAGGACAGAAAAAGTGAAACCTGGGAATGAGGACACTTGCAGCAAAGTAAAATGACTTCACAACTATTGCACAGAGCTGCAGGTGTAAGAGAGCCTAAGCCAGTCTCAGAGTGCTGGGGACAAGCGGAAAGGGATGGCAAAATTTCCACTGACAATTGAAATTATGTTAAATAGCCGGCTACTGTTGTTTGTATCTCTTCAATGAATGCAGGCATATTTCTGTGGGCATTTACAGGTTCACTCAACAACACCAGCCCTTCTTGCCCCCATCGGAGATGGGCTTTCTCAAGCACAGTGCCCCTCCTGCTTGGGTGGGCCGCGCTGCGTGTCCTCGCCTGGGGCTGGGCTGCTGCAGGGCACTGAGTTCCCGAGGCATGGCCTGTGATACACGACAGGAACATCTCTGCTCTTGACTGGGGGCCTCCGTTTCTCCTGTAGTGTAAGAATGCCGGCGACTGAGTTAGAAGCATGCATCCAAGCTGTCCGTGTCCTCGGCATCCAGAAGCGGAGCCTGGAAGCTTCCGAATTTCTTCAGAATGCGGTCTACATTCACCTTCGGCAGGTGAGTGTATGTCCTTACAGAAGTTGAGGAATTAGTGCAGTTTTCCTGGAAATTTCTCACCACTAGTCCATCGGATTTTTCTGTGCTAGGATTCAGTATGGCCTGCTAAAAATTCTGGAGTCAGATCTTGAAGCCCTGATGAAGAGGATTATTTATTTCATTTCTCTATATGATAGTCTTTTACATTTAAAATTCAGAAATTTGGTTCCTTCAGGGGTTTTTCGGGGGTTGGAGAATCAACTTTGCTCTTACCATCTTTGCGACCTGTTGCTTTGTGCCTCTCTCCTGTCTTCTGTCACTTGTGAGGCGGTTCCATTTGTGACCCTGTCCGGGTTGTTCATGTTAAAAAACATAAAGTCTGTAAAAGTACATTCCCTTTTACTCCGAAGACATTCCACAAATACTCCTTTAATCTGGGTGTGGTTTTAAGAAGACAGAATCATTAGAACATGTCCTTGCAGGTTGTTAGTGCAAAATCTTCAAATCAATAGTCTTGCTCAACATCTAAAATCTTTCTAATCTACCTTGGATTTGTATGGATAAGTGAAGCAGTTTGCTAAGAACTCAAGACCAGGGTTAGAATACAGGCTGGTGTAGGTCAGCAGGTCCTCCCAAGCTGATGCTCTGCCAGAGGGTGGGGCCGAAGGGAGAGGGCGGGTCCTGCCCTCCCTGAGCTGACAGTTTCATGACAAAGACCTTCACCATGTAAAGAACTTGGAGTTTCTTCTAAGAACAGTGGGTCTGAAATGAGTCCAAAAAGCGCAGAAGTGACACAATCCCATTTGTCTCAAGTAGGGGAGAGTGGCTCTGGGGCCACTTAGGAGACTCGTGAGTCCAGGTGGACAGTGTTGGTGGCTTCCACTTGAGCGATGGGACGATCAGTGGGTAAAAGCGAACAGATTGAAAGCATGTTCAGATGATAAAAAGGAAAGGATGAATGCTGTCTGTCAATATAGGATGGAGTAAGGCCCAGGTTTTTGTGTGGATTAATGAGGTAAATGATGGTCCTGCTTTGCTGTGAGGAGGGAAAGCTGCAGAGGGATTTCTGGGGGAAAACTGATGAGTTCAGCTGTGGGTAAAGTGAAAGGCTGTTAAATGTGTGGTCTGGGAGCTCAGGTGAGAGCCAGTAGTGAGTAGGGGGAGGGAAGAGGGACTTTCAAATCATTTTGTCTTGTGAATATACAAATAAGTATGAGTAATGACACACTTAACACCTCTATAATCTGGACTTAAAGCCCAATAAGATTTTGCTATACTGACTGCAGAGGTTCTTAATTTTTTTTAATAGAAAGAAATAGATACAAAATAGTGGAGTTAGTGAACATCTTAGAGTTGATGTGTGTCCTTGTATGTATTTTTATACCTCA